CATTTCCTTCTCCAGATCATTTTACAGATGAAGAAACTGAGGCAAACAGGGTTTGCTAGCTCACAGCTAATAAAGTGTCTGAGGCCAGATTTGAACTAAAGAAGATGAGTTTTCCCGACTCCAGGTGTGGCACTATGTCCATTAAGCTGCCTAGTCGTCCACTGGTGGTAGAGATGGCTGTGTAATGGTTGAGTCTAAGAGCCACACCACCTCCAGCTAGTCCTGCAAATGACACATAAATGGCATCAAGAAACCCAGTCACAGAAATAGGAGTCTCTGAAATAAATTAGACCCAATTTCTGAGGAAGACACAAGCTGTGCTAAGAATGCCAGTAAAGTTCTGAAGAAAATGCTGGCCAATAACACCAAAGCCATCAGCAGCCAGGAAGAGGCCATCAAAGCCCTCAGCACAAAGTTTCCCAGAACTTAGACCCTTAGAAACAAAATCATCAAAATCACAGACCCCAAAACTGTACCATGATGTACCAGACTCAAGACCATCACCAAATGCACTGATCCCAAAGTTGCTACCAAACATCCTGGCCCCACAATTATCACTGTCAGCCTTAAGGTTGTCAGAACCATTGACCCCAAGGTCTTAAATGCTAATACTCTAGGGATCAAGGCTATGGGTTTCAAGTCTAACAGAATATATGATTCAAAACAAAAGAACTAATTTGACCCCTAAACTTTAGTTTTTGTTTTACTCACTCTATTTTTTTTTGATACAGTAACGGAAAGGATGAGGTACAAGGAGGAAAACAAAGAACTGATGGATGTGATTGTCTAGATCTTGAAGGCAATCTCTGAAATATATAGAGAATGGAAAGGTGAAATGTGACTAGAAATTGGAAAATGGAATTCAAACTGTTGGCTGGTGATCTTGACTCCAATGAAGGGGATAATTCACGAACATTCAAAGATGGAAGTAGTAATCATTGATTCATCAATCATGGATTCACCAGCAACTAATCATGCTAGCCTCATTTCCTTTAATGGCAGGGTTTCTAGACCTGATATACCATTGACAGTATATCTGGGTTTCAGAAAGGCAGTTGAGCCTCTTGAGAACAAGATAGATAAATGTGAGTTAGATGATAGTCAGATGGATTCATAAATGGTTGAATGACCAGGCACATAAAGTAATCATTAATCATTTTCAGCCTAGAAGAGGTCTTTAGCAGAATGTCTTGGAGTTTTAGGTTTCAGTGTTACTCCTCATTTTTATCAGTGACTTGGATGAGGGCATAGATAGTATGCTTATTAAGTGTGCAAATAACACAGATCTAGGATAGCCAACACATTGGACAACAAAACAATCATTTGATGTTAATAAGATACAGTTTATATAACTATGTGAAGGATCTATGATTGCTTCAATACAAGGATCTTGTCCTAGGAGAACTCCTTCCACTATTGTAGGTTATAACCCTCAAAGACGTAGTAGCTAAGACCTAGAGAATTGCCTGAAGGACACAGAAATTGAGTGACTTGCTAAGTGATCACTTAGCTGGCAAGCATCAGAGGTGGAAGTTGATCCCAGTTCTTTCTGACTCTAAGCCTAGGATTCTGTCAACAACAATAACAATTATTATTATTATAACTAGCATTTGCACCCACTGTGTGCTAACCATTTTACAAATATTATCTCATATGATCCTGGAGACAAAGGCCTATCTTTTTTTGATGTCAATATTCTAGGCACTTTTACAAAGATTATCTCATTTATCCTCACAACAATTTTGGGACATAGGTACTGTTGCTGTTTTACGGATGAGGAAATTGAGGCAAACAGATTGAGTGACTTGCCCATGGAAACACAGCTAGTAAGTGTCTAAGGCTAGACTCGAATTCAAATCTTCCTGACTCTAGGCCTGGTGCTTTATCCACTGTGCCACCTAGCTGTTATGCCACAACATTTGTAGTGGATGATAATAATGAAGTTTAATAGGGATAAATGTCAAAATCCAACATTTGGAGTTAAAGTTAATAAGATTAATCAATATGGAAGAAATGTGGCTAGACAACAATTTGTGTGAAAATATTTTGTTCTTTATATATTGAAATGTTTGTATTTGGTGATAAGTTCATAGTAAAAAGAAAATTTAAAATATGAAGTAAAGAAGAAAAGATACCTGAACCCAAGGAGAGCAAAAATTGAAAAAGAAAACTGTAGTCTAACTTCCCTAATGAATATTGATGCAAAAAATTTAAATAAAATACTATCTAATACTAATATAGATTATAGCAACATATCACAAAGATCATACAATATGACAAGGTGGGATTTATACTAGGAATGCAGGGCTGGTTCAATATTAGGAAAACTATCAGCATAATTGAGCATGTTAATAACAAAACCAACAGAAATCATAAGATTATCTCAAAAGATGCAGAAAAAGCTTTTGCCAAAATATAACACCCATTCCTAGAGCACAGGAATAAGTCGAGCCCTCCTTAAAATGGTAAATAGTATCTAAGATAATCAGCAAACATGATCTGTAATGGAGATAAACTTGAAGTCTTCCCAGTAAGATCAGGGGTGAAGCAAGGATGCCTATTATCATTATTATTCAACATTGCACTAGAAATGCTAGCTATAGTAGTGAGACAAGAAAAAGAAATTGAAAGAATAAGAATGAGCAATAAGGAAATAATTCTATCACTCTTTGCAGATGATACGATGGTATACTTATAGAACTCTAGAGAACTCTAGTTGAAACAATTAAGCAAAGTTGTAGAATATAATATAGACTCATATAAATCATGAGCATTTCAATATGTTACCACAAAACCTAGCAGAAAGGGATAGAAAGAGAAATTCCATTTAAAATAACTTGAGGCAATATAAAATACTTAGGAGTTTATCTGCCAAGACAAACCCAGGAACTATATGAACATAACTACAACACATTCTTCAGACAAATAAAGATGGAGCTAAACAATTGGAGAAATATTAATTGCTCATGAGTAGGGCAAAACAATATAATATAAATGACAATTCCATCTAAATTAATTTACTTGTTCTGTGCCATACCAATAAAATGATCAAAGAATTGTAGAGCTGGAAAAAATAACAACAAAATTCATCTGGAAGGACAAAAGGTCATATCAAGGAAATCAAGGAAAAATAAATGTGAAGGAAGGAAGCCTAGCAGTACCATACTTCAGACTGTATTTAAAAATGGTTGTCATCAAGACAATCTAGTATGGGCTAAGAAATAGAGTGGTGGAACAGTAGAATAAGGTAGGTACACAATATACACTAGTAAATGATCATAGTATTCTAGTGTTTGATAAACCCAAAGGGGCAAGATTTTGGGGCAGGAACTCAATATTTGACATAATTTTCTGGGAACACTGGAAAGTAGTTTGGCATAAACTTGTGACCAAGATCTCACATGATAAACTAAGATAAGGTCAAAACAGGTACATGATTTAGACATAAAGGATGATATCATAAGCAAATTAGGGGAGCATGGAAAAATGTACCTGTCAGATCTATGGATAAGGGAAAAGTTTATGACCAAACAAGAGACAGAGAGAATCACAGGAAATAAAATGGATAATTTTAATTTCATGAAATTTAAAAAAAAATTGCACAGATAAAACCAATGAAGCCAAAATTAGAAGAAAAACAGAAAACTAGGGGAAAATTTAGAGGCAATTTCTGTAACATAGGCTTCATTTCTCAAATATATAGGGAATGGAGCCAAATTTATAAAAATGAGAGCAATTCCTCAGTTGATAAATGGTCAAAGGATATGACTAGGCAGTTTTCAGAGGAAGAAATCAAAGCTATCAATAGTCATATGAAAATGCTCTAAATTATTGATTAGAGAAATGAAAATTAAAACAGCTCTGAGGTATTACCTCACACCTATCAGAAAGGCTAACATAACAGCAAAAGGAAATGACAAATGCTGGAAGGAATGTGAGAAAATAGATACACTAATGCACTATTGGTGGAATTGTGAATTGGTTGTGAATTGGTCCAATCATTCCGGAGAACAATTTGGAACTATGCCCAAAGGGCTATGAAATTGTGCATATCCTTTGACACAACAATACCACAACTAGATCTATATCCCAAAGAGATCAAACAAAAAGGAAAAGGACCTATATGTACAAAAATATTTCTAGCAGCTCTTTTAGTGGTGGCAAAGAATTGGAAACTGAGGAGATGCCCATCAACTGGGGAATTGCTGAACAAGTTGTATGATTGTGATGGAATGCTATTGTGCTGTAAGAAATGATGAGGGAAATAGTTTCAGAAAAACCTAGAAAGATTATATGAACTGATACAAAGTAAAATGAGCAGAACCAGGACAGTGTAGTATAATGATGATCAACAGTAAAGGACTTAGCTACTGTAATCACTACAATAATCCAAGATAATTCTAAAGCACTCATAATGAAAAATGTTATCTACCTTCAGAGAAAGAACTGAAGAATTCTGAATTCATATTGAAGCATATTTTTTCCATTTAATTTTTTGCAATGTGGCTAATATCGAAATATGTTTTGCATGGCTTAATATGCATGATTTATACTGTATTATTTATTTTCTGAATGGGTGAGGGAGGGGTTGGAGAAGGAAGAGAATTGGGAACTTAAAATTTTTAAAAATGAATGTTAAAATAAAGTGTAATTATCTGTTTAAAAAGTGTGTCATGCCTACAAGTCTCCCCACCAGATTACTGGTTGTTAAACATTTACCACATATTCTACTTCCATTTCTTAACTTCTACAAAATAGAGAAATAGAAAAAGTACTAGATGTGGAAATCAGATTTGGGTTCAAATCCAGGATTTGTGACTTACTACTTGTGTGATGTTGTGTAAGTCATATTACTGTTCTGGGCTTCGGTTAGTTTCCTCATCTATAAAATGAGGGGATTGGGTTAGATAATGATTATTGGATAACTATTGGATTAGATAATATCTATGGTCCTCACTATGTCCCAAATCCTATGATCTCTTTCTCTTGTTTCTTTACAGGAATCATTCCCTTGAAACAGTTTGTTGCATATTCCTCATCCAAGGCAGCTCTGACCATGTTTTCTGGAGTCATGAGACTGGAACTTAAAAAATGGGGCATTAAAGTGGCATTAATTCATCCTGCAGCATTCAAAACAAGTAGGTTTTTGACATATGGTGGGTAAGGATGATTTAATGGATAAAGAACTGGCCTTAGAGTTAGGAAGATGTGGGTTCAAGTCCTGCTTGTGACACAGAGTAGCTGTTTAACCCTAGGCAAGCAAGTCATCAAACCTTTCACAGTGCTCTAGATAACTCTAAGAACATAGGTTTGCAAGAAGGGTGGCAATCTGTCTTGTAAAGGCATTTTCTTCATTCAAGAATTCCCTATAATCAACGAAATCAAAGTCTCCATCTCTATTAGAATCCTAATATATTAAAGTAAAGAAGTCCTCTTGTACAATTGCCTCATTTTATAGGATGCACAAGTAAAGCTCAGAGAGAAAAAGAGACTTCATGCTGCCACACAACTAGTTAGTGGCCAAGAAAGGTCACCTTCCTTACAGGCCATTATCATTTCCATGGCAACTTATTGTCTTTTGGCATTGAGTGGTCTGTGGAATGGGAGCACAAGACACAATTTTGATTAGTCCAAGACAGCTGCAACAGTTATTTCCTAAATTTTGATTTGAGATTTTACCAGTTACCAAGGGTCATGTTTATTAGATCAGTTAAAAAAAAAACCAAATTGACAACATGGAGAATATGTTCTTTCTCTACCATGAATTTACCTCCATATCCTACCCACTGTATGGATGCCTCAAGGCTGTGTCCTGGGCTCCTTTATTTATCTCCTTACAATCTCTCATTTGATGAACCGATCAGATCCCATAGGTTTAATCATCAACACTGGGCCAATGGCTCCTGCACCTATATATCTAGATGCATTCAGGTCTAGTCTCTCCTGAATTCCAGTCTCATATCAACACCTGCCCCTTGGACATTCTAAACTGGATGTCTCATAGGCACCTCAAACTCTACATATCTAAAACAGAACTAATTATCTATATATTTTCCACCAGTTTCAAACCTCTTCCAAACATCTCTATTTCTGTCAAGGGCACTACCTCCATTCAAATATTTCAGCTTAGCAACCTCAATGTCTTTCCTAGCTTCCCTCTCCCTCGTATCACATCTATTTGGTTGCTAAATCTTATTTCCATCTCCACCATACCTCTCACATCTGCCCCCTTCTCTCTATCCACATAGCCACTGCCCTAGTTCAAACTCTAATCACATCTTGCTGGAATTACTATTGCCATAATCTATGAACTGGTTTCCCTATCTTAAGTCTGTCCCCTGTTCAGTCTATCCTCCACTAAGCTGCCAAACTGATTGACCATGAACTTCCAATAGTCAGTAAATATAAACTTCTTTGTTTCTCATTTAAAGTCCTTCATAAACTGACCACAACTTACCTTTTCAGTCCTTTTCACATATTATTTCCTCTTATGTACTTTTATGCTTCAGTCAAATTGGACATCTCACTGTTTATATGAGAAACAGTGCTCCATTTCCTTTCTCCTTTTGTACTGGCCATCCTCCATGTCAGGAAGGAATTCCCTCCTTCTTTATTTTCCATCTCTTAGAATCCTTAATTTCCTTCAGAACTCAGCTTGAGTATCATGTAAAAGGTAGTGTTTGAGTTGAGTGCAGAAACATGGAGATGGGAATTAGGATATGATAAATTTAGAACAATAAAAAGGTCAGTTTGATTGAATTATAAATTATGTTAAGGGGAGTAGCTTAATAAGGCTGGAAAGGTGGCTAGGGTGTAAATGGCCTTATGTGGCCTTGAGGTAGCTATGAGGCCCAGTGGATAGAGGATCAACGTTGTTCTGAGGGTCAAATGAAATATCATTTGTAAAGTGCTCTGCAAACCTACAAGCCCTATATAAATGTTAGCTACTGCTGTTGTTGTTACGGTAAACAGAGAAGTTTTCATTTGACCATAAAAATAATAGTGAGCTATTGGAGTTTACTAAATAAGAGAGTCAAAGTGAGGTATTGATGTGCTGGATTGGGGTCCAAGGACCTGGATTTCAGTTCTGGTTTGGCCAATTACTACCTTTGTGACCTTGGACAAATCACTGCACTGCTCTGGACCTCAGTTACTGACTTGTAAAATGAAGGGGTTGGATTAGATAATCTCTAAGTATCCTTTCAGTTAAATCTATGATCCTATAACTCAAAGTTTTTAAGCATGGGAGAATGGAGAATGTGACCAACACTGATTTGGAATTTCAGGGAGTGACTGATTCACCTTCCCAGAAAGCAGAGAAAGGGGAAGAGCAACAGCTGGCTGTTGTTCCACTTTCCAGAAAAGAGCTGAAAAAAGACCATTTGAAAGAGAGAGTTCAAGTCTCCTATTGATTGTCCTTATGCCTTTCTCACTATTCCTAATTCTGTTGGGTCACCTTTTTTTTTCTTTTTATAAACTTGTTAGCCTGAATTTAGAGGCCACTATCTTATTTTCTTAATAGTATGCTCTAGGACAGCTTTGACACATGGAAGTGTCTGCCTCTTTTCAAGACCAGTTTTGAACTGAGGTAATGTGGTATAGCAGAAGTATATGTACATATATGTATATATGTGTATTTACGTGCATATATATACATATATGTTTTGTGTGTATTTATGTGTGTGTGTATATATAAACATATAACACACACAGTAGGCAGAAGCAGAATAATGGAGAAAATCAGTATAATGGAAAAATTGGTTTTGTAGAAAAATGAAATGTCTGGGCCAAGGTAAATTTGAGATAATGGAATAAGAGGAAGAGGTATGGTTTAGTTCATCTACCAAGCTTCTTCCACAAAGATCTAGAAAGTGCACCAGACTAAATTCTAATTGGGGAATCTAAGAAGAAGTGAGTCATTTTTCTAGCCCAGAGAGGCTTAGTGAGACAGAAAGGCTTGCAGATACTAGGGATCAGTCTGGTCAGAGGCGTACCCATATGGGACATTCCAGTGCCATGGACTGAAATTGACCTGAGACTGGGCACTGGGAAAGGAAGTGATCTTAGGAGATTCCTGTACAGGGGGAGGGTACAGGATCAGGTACTACAAGGCAGTTTGTTGCTTACTGCCAAGTTCTAGGTCACAGATTTAGTACAAAGAGGAATAGTCTCAGAGGATCAGTAGCTACTGAGGCCCTAACTGTGTAATTGAGCAAAGAAAAACATCTGAAGCAAACAATAGCTATTTGGCTCTGATCACTGAAACAGAGCAAGAACTCATTTCCAGCCTATAGCCCAGGGTGAAAGCCTGGAATGGAATAGCCAGAATAGAAGTCCCAGACCAAAGGGGAGCCTACAGTTTAGTCATTCAGAACTGCAGAACCTCCCAACAGACTAACAGTGATGGATTCAGGTTCAGCAATATTATACTTAAATTTCCAACCAAGGATAACACAACAGACCCAAACTTGGGTCAGGAACTTGCAGAGCTCTTATCTTAGGGCAGTGAACAGACTTTATTCAGGATCCCATCACTTTGGGAGCATTGAAAGCTTACAGACTCCAGTCCAGCATCATGGAAGCAGCAGAAGGACATAAGAGTAGAGAAGCACAGGTCAGACACTCCCCCCAGAAGTACACAAAGGCCAGAACTAACATAAAGTCCAAAGTCAAGAAACAGGTTGCAAGAATGAGCACACACATGCAAAAGAATCCCACATAAAGAACCTTTATGGCAACAGGGAAACAAGATGTAAACCCAGAAGAAGAGAATGACTTGAAAATGTCTGCAAGCAATACCTTAAAGAAAAATGGAACTCTGACAAAGTCCAAACAGAATTCCTGAAAAACTTAAAGCAACAGTTAAAAAAGAGCCAAAGTTATTTTTAAAATAAAATGAGAAGATATGGAAGAAAGATATGAAAGTAAAATTAACAGCTTGGAACGAGAAGTATAAAACCTTACCCAAGAAAATAATTCTATGAAAATTAGAATTGAGCAAGTAGAAGCTAATAACTCCATGAGGCATAAAAAATAATGAAACAAAGTCAAAAGTCTAAAAAAATAGAAGAAAATATGAAGTATCTCACAATTTAAAATAATGGGAAACAGATTGAGGAGAAATAATTTGAGAATCATTGGACTACATGAAAGCCAAAAGAAAAAGAACCTAGTCATCATGTTTCAAGAAATTATAAAACTACCCACATCTCTTATTACGAGTAAAGTAGAAAGAGAAAGAATCCACCAGTTACCTCCTGATAGAAACCCCAAAATGAAAGTTCCTAGGAATATTATAGGCAAAATCCAGGGCTTCCAGGTCAAATTAAAAAATACTTCAGTCAGACAGAAAGAAAGAATTCAAATAAGTCGCCACAGTCAGGATCACATAAGATTTGACAGTCACCACAGTAAAGAATCAGAGAGCTTACAAAAGACAAAAATTATAGACCTACAATCAAGCATAACTTATCCAGAAAACCCGAGTGTAATCCTACTGGGGAAAGAGGAGCTTTAATGAAATAGAGAACTTCTAAACATTCATGATGAAATACCAGAGTTGAGTAGAAAATTTGATATACAAACAGGAATTAAGAGAAGCATACAAAGGTAAACATGAGCAAGTAATCATAAAGGACTAAATAACGTTTGGCCATTTACATTCTTATATGGAGAGTTATGATACATGTAACTCCTCTGAGCTCTATCATCAAGAGGAATCATAGAGGGAGTTCAGTTTGACAGAGGGCCTCTGAGTGACTTGGTTATATTTTGATGATCTTTAAAAAAGAATGGAAAAGGTGGGGAAGAGGGATATACTGGAGTAGAGGGTGAGGACAAGAGAGATGAAGAATAAGGAAAATTATCTCACATAAATGGAATGGACATTAATTTTTATCCCCAGCGTCTTAGCACAGTGCCTGGTACATAACAGGTATTTAATAAATGTTTATTGATAGACAGATTGATATCCTATAACTTTACTAAAGTTGCTAATTGTTCTAATTAGTTTTTAGTTGACTCTTTAGGGTCCTGTAAGTAAATCATATCATCTACAAAGAGTAATATTTTGTTTTCTCTTTGCCTATACTTTTGCCTTCAATTTCTTTTTTCTTGTCTTATTACTATAGCTAGCATT